TACTTCACAGGTCCAGGTAATCACTTAGATATTTCTGTTGTACTACCAGTCTCTTCTTTTGGAGATTCAGTCACTATCTCCCATCCATCTTCCTCTACATCTCCAGCTCCACCATCTATAGCTCCAATTCCATCACCTATAGGTCCAGTTCCTCCACATAATCCAGTTCAACCTTCTGCAGCTCTGCCACTCTTGACTTATCATCGTCGTCCACATCCAGCATCAGGCCAAGTGATTCACGTCCTGCATCAGGTTCTGCACCTATTACGGACTTGTCTCTTCTTAGTCAACCAATTGCACTCCGCATAAGTGTACGGTCCACACTTAATCCTAATCCCCACTATGTTGGTCTAAGTTATCATCGTCTGTCGTCACCTTATTATGCTTTTATATCTTCTTTGTCCACTGTTTCTATTCCTAAGTCTACAAGTGAGGCACTATCTCATCCTGGATGGCGACATGCTATGATTGACGAGATGTCTGCTTTACATGCGAGTGGCACTTGGGAGCTTGTTCCTCTTCCTGTAGGTAAGTCTACTGTTGGTTGTTGTTGGGTTTATGCAGTCAAAGTCGGTTCGGATGGCCAGGTTGATCGGCTTAAGGCTCGTCTTGTTGCAAAAGGATATACTCAAATTTTTGGGCCTGATTATAGTGATACTTCCTCTCTCGTGGCTAAAGTAGCATATGTTCGTCTTTTTTTGTCCATGGTTGTTGTACGTCATTGGCCTCTTTATCAGTTAGACATTAAGAATGTTTTTCTCCACGGTGATCTTGACGAAGAAGTTTATGTGGAGCAACCACCTGGTTTTGTTGCTCAGGGGGAGTTTAGTGGTTGTGTATGCAGATTGCGCAAGTCACTATATGGTTTGAAACAGTCCCCTCGAGCTTGGTTTGGTAAGTTCAGCACAATTATTCAGGAGTTCGGCATGACTCGTAGTGAGGCTGATCACTCTGTGTTTTATCGGTATTCTGCTCTGAATCTGTGTATTTATCTGGTGGTTTATGTTGATGATATTGTTATTACTAGCAACGATCAGGATGGTATTACTAATCTGAAGACACATCTCTTTGAGCACTTTCAAACTAAGGATCTGGGTAGTCTGAAGTATTTTCTAGGTATTGAGGTCGCTCAGTGCGGAAGTATGCTTTAGACATTCTTGAGGAGACTGGAATGATGGGTTGCAGACCTATTGACTCTCCTATGGATCCGAATGCTAAGCTTCCCCCTGGACAGGGGGAGCCTCTTAGAGACCCTGCGAGATATAGAAGATTGGTTGGAAAATTGAAATACCTCACAGTGACTAGACCTGACATTTCTTTTCCGGTGAGTGTTGTAAGTCAGTTTATGAATTTTCCCTGTAATAGTCACTGGGATGCAGTTATTCGTATTCTTCGGTATATAAATTCAGCTCCAGGCAAAGGATTACTATTCGAAGATCGAGGCCACGAGCAGATTGTTGGGTACACAGATGCTGATTGGGCAGGATCACCTTTTGATAGACGATCTACATCTGGATATTGTGTCCTAGTAGGAGGTAATTTTGTCTCGTGGAAGAGCAAGAAACATAATGTAGTTGATCTAGCGTCGAAGCCAAATATCGGGCCATAGGTATGGCAACATGTGAGTTACTTTGGGTCAAGTAGTTGCTCAAGGAGTTAAAGTTCGGAGAAATCAGCAGGATGGAACTAGTGTGTGATAATCAAGCTGCTCTTCATATTGCGTCAAATCCGGTGTTCCATGAGAGGACTAAACACATTGAGATCGACTGTCACTTTGTCAGAGAAAAAATACTTTCAGGAGATATTGTTACAAAGTTTGTAAAGTCGAATGATCAACTAGCAGATATTTTCACTAAGTCTCTTACTAGTTCTCGTATTAGTTACATGTGTAACAAGCTCGGTACATATGATGTGTATGCACCGGCTTGAGGAGGAGTGTTAGATAAGTACATAATGTAGTCTTGTCCCACATTGGAATACGAGTAGTATGTCCTTGTATAGTATAGCTATAAATAAGGACCTCTTGTATTGTATTGAACACACAATATTAATATATCATATTTTCTCCCGTGCCTTCTCACATAAATGAATATTGAATTGTAAAAATTTCTTTCTATTTTGCAGGATTGAACATTGACCCCCGACATCTGGCTCTCCTTTGCCAGAAGGCACGTTGTTTTATACTTACCTCGTTCTGTTCTTCCAAATTATTCGTTCTGATTATTGGATCGGTAAAACCTCCCTTCCTATCTCAAGCTTTATTCTCCTCAATAGGTGGAGAATCATATTGTTGGAGCTCCTTGTGGCGTGATGGATCAGATGGCTTCAACATGTGGGGAGGCCGACAAGCTTCTCGCAATGGTGTGTCAGGTATGCAGCAAATTTTTATGCTAAGCATTACATAGTTACTGGGACCAACCGCGATATCAGAATTAGCACTCACTTTTTCTTTTAGCCCGCTGAGGTGCTAGGACTTGTTGACATACCGCCCACCGTCCGATTTTGGGGAATTGATTCTGGAATACGACACAGGTAAAACTTCCCACTGAGTATTTCGTTTAACCGTCTCTTATCTCCATCAAATTTGTTTGCAATCTAACATGAAGATTACTGTCAGTTCATGCCATATTTAAAAAATTGGTGGAACTTTTTTAATGGAGAAAGTTCTGAAATAGACAAATTCAAGAATATTTTTCATTGAGTTGATCGAGAATACTTTTGCTTTTTCTCAAGTTTGGAGCAAGAACAAAAATATATCCAAATGTTGGTTCAGTTCACAATAGGTCCAACTGTTTTTTCAAGTTTACCATGTATCTTTCAAAATTGAAAAATGCCGACTGCAGTGTCCGCCAGGAGGTCTAAAACTAAAATCACGCTTTCCCACCACTTAAGCTGGAGCGCAGTCCAGTTTCTCCGCCTAATGAGTAACTTTTTTCTACCAAATTAGGATGTATGTTTTGGCCTTATGTTCTAAGTTCTTTCCTTCCAGTACTTATGAGAGTTTGCTGCAGTGTTGGTGGTTCAGACTACAAATCTGTGAGAGTTGGTGCCTTTATGGGGAGGAAGATAATAAAGTCCGCTGCGTCGGTGGAGTTACGCTCTTCCTTGTCAAACATTTCATCTGCCCAACAAATCAATGGGTTCAACCCTGATGAAGCTGATGAGGATAGCAAGGATTTACTTGAAATGGAAGCGTCTCTGGATTACCTGTGCAACCTCTCACCTCATAGGTTCGTTATGCATATGTAGTTTGTATTTCTGGCTTTTATTCTCTCTTTTTTTACTAACTATGTTTGACATATATTCTAATTTCAGATATGAGGCGTCTTATGCAACTAGACTTCCGGAATCTTTATCTGGCCAGGAATTTGTGGAGAAGTATCTCGATCATGATGATTCTGTAACGAAAATTGATAAGGAGCGCAATTATGCTGTGAGAGCACCAACTAGGCATCCCATCTATGAGAACTTCCGAGTCAAGGTCCACAATTTGAATTTCCTTTTTAAATCATTTTCGTCTGAATAAGAAGGTTTCTGGTTCTTTACATCAGATTAGCTTTTTTATCTCCTGTTGTTATTAGATTGTTCATATTCATCATGAGAACAATTGATTGACATGTGTATGTGTCAAATGCTATCAGGCTTTTAAAGCATTATTATCAGCTGCACCTTCCAATGATCAATTATCTGCTCTTGGAGAGTTAATGTATCAGGTATATGCTATGCTTCATGTTTTTCTGATTGTTTTGGAGTGGATTCTTTGCAAATTGTTCTCTCAATTGGAATACCTCTACAGAGATTTTCTGACCAAGTGTTTCTTACTGCAGTGTCATTTCAGTTACAGCGCTTGTGGGCTTGGGTCAAATGGTACAGATAGGCTGGTTAGCTTGGTACAAGAAATGCAGCACTCTAAATCATCAAAATCTGAAGGTGGAACTTTGTATGGGGCAAAGATTACTGGTGGAGGTTCTGGTGGAACAGTTTGTGTTGTCGGGAGGAACTGTTTAAGAAGCAATGAACAACTTATTGAGGTACCTTTCTACAGCTTTATTGTTATACAATTACAGATATATACTCTTCTTGTAAACAATACAAGGAATAGCATCCCTCTTTGCTCTTTTATAGTTACAAAATCTTTTTTTTTTTTTTTTTTTTGGCATTAGCGTTACAAAAACCTTTAACTGTTGTCTTTCTATCTGCAGATTCAGCAAAGATACAAATCTGCTACTGGATTCTTGCCATACGTGTTTGAAGGTTCTTCGCCTNAAATTTTTTTTTTTTTTTTTTTTTTGGCATTAGCGTTACAAAAACCTTTAACTGTTGTCTTTCTATCTGCAGATTCAGCAAAGATACAAATCTGCTACTGGATTCTTGCCATACGTGTTTGAAGGTTCTTCGCCTGGAGCAGCAAAATTTGGCCATCTTCAAATACGGCTTCGATCCTAGTGTGATTAATAGCAGATGTAGTAGTTGAAACTAGACAAAAAGAAAGATATCAGCAAACTGCTGGAGTTTTGACACTGGAAATTTTTCCGCATCACAAAGCATTTGCAGGTTCTTGGGCATCAATAATTCTGGGAACATTTTCTTTCTTTTTTAACCCTTTAGAAACAATAATTGTTTTTGAGTATTGATCATAAAGTATATTTATTCAAGTTCATCTTATTCTGCTATCTTTTACCTCTTAGTATCTCTTTAGTATTTTTTCCATCCTGGTTCAACTCTTCCCTGAAAGTAAATGAACTTGTAAATGCCTGGACTCCTTATCTTTTGTGTCTGTTACTATTGTAAAAATTTGTCTTTTATAGTTGATTAGGTTATTTTTGCATTATATCTTTCAATAATCTGTAGCGTTGGATATTTTGGACCATCACACAAGTTTTCATCAAAATTTCACCTTATTCTTGTCCATTTTGCCTCTTTAAGAACAACAAAAAACATGAGAAAGGGAGAAAAGGATAACATGAACTGAAACAAAAATTTACACAATTCAGCTCAGCTACTGAAATTTACTTCAAGATTTTCCATTAAGATATTGAGGGGAAAATTAGAGAGCCTTCTAAACAACTATACATTCCAACACTACACCACACATATTTCAAGGACTTCAATTTTACATTGAAAATACTCTAAGAAACTTTTCGTGCAAAAGAACACGAAGAAAATTTGGACAAAAAGCATCGTACAGCTCTATGGTTACCTAGACTAGACCATGTTCCCGCTTTCAACATGAGCTAACCCTACTTGGACAGGTGCAATCACACAAGGTGATCAAGCACACTCAAATCCGAGCTGTGTTCTTGTCAGAGATTAGCGACAGCTCCTGTTCAACCAAGGAAAGGTCCTTATACCAAGATCCTAGGTAGAGCTGCTTTGCGTGCTCTATCGTGTATAAAGGATAGATTAACCAATTGTGGCAGATTTCCACCAAGCTTGAGCAATGAACACCTAAAGTTATACAAGTAGAATGGAACTTTAGCCACTGCTAATTTACACATTTCCCCCATCTGAACTGCTACAAGCTTGATTTTGGAGACTATTTCCAAAATCTCCATCCAAGCTCATTTGCTGGACTTCTTGCGGAGAGAGAATCTTAATGCAGCGGACGCAGTTCACGAATTCCCTGAAGTATCATATGACACATGTAAGTCAGTATGCCTCGAATATGTACCAAGGAAAAAGGAATGGGGAAGGATTGTAAAAACAGCTTTAGGCTACATTGATCAAGTCTCCACGGGACGCATGCATAATGGGATAAAAGGTTGTATGGTTATAAAGAAGTTCAGTTGGAAGTCTTGGCTCCCAAGAGAACGGCATATGCTGCTTGCTCGAATTGAAAATGCAAATACAAAATTAGATAGAAGCAAAGTTCAAGAACTTACTCCCAAGGGTCATCACCAACCAGAAGAACATCATTCTCATGATCCACATACACAAGCTTCCATCCTATCCTTTGTCTGTCCTCCAGTTGTCCCTCTATACCGAATCTACGAGCTAAATCTTGTTTAAGGTCTTCGTAGCCCGAGTAACGTGCGATATCAATCGATCTTCCAACAGCACCACGCTTGTATACCTTTGAGAGCATAGAGGCAAAAAAGTTAGTATTCTTAACTCAAACATGATACGAGGTAGGACACAGATTTGGTAAGTTAACCAACCTTGGTATATGTCCGCAAACGAGGTACTTGAGGTGGTGGGGCCCAGGCACCTCTATTCATGAAGCTGCCATCATTTATGGTAGAATCAATTGAATTGAAAGCCATATCAGGAACTCCAAATGACTGGGAAACCATTGATGATGAGAGTTCGGGCTGTGCTTCCTTGGGGTTCTCATAGCTAGAAAGCATGCCTCCTCCTGATGAGATATTATTTGATAAATCTTTCCTTGAGTCCATCAAGCTATTTGTGACCAAAGGATCTGGCATCATTGGCAGTCCTAACTGATTGTCCATATTTGATCCAAAAGCAACACTGTTCCTGGGGTCACCCTGAACTTCTCCGTCTTGACTGTCTCTGAATATGACTGGTTGATTATTGAAAGACAATGGGTTTGTTGTCTGCTGCAACTGGGCATCATTTTGAGAAAAGCAGACTGAGGTTGCTGAAGATGAACTATCTAGATAATCCATGTGGGGCCCTGCAGTGTTAAGGTAGGTTTGAGGAGCCAAAAATCCTTGGTTAGGGCTCTTGGAGATGTTCACCGAGGGCTTCACATCAGATTTGTGCTGCAAATCTTTAACTAGATTGCTATTAGTGGACATAGCTTCGAATCCACTGGAATTCAAAAGGGGTACAGAAGACTGGGTTGCTTCATCCCCTGCAGCTGTGCCTCGATGCATCCTACCATTCATACTTGGCTGAACCGCATTTTGACAATTGTTCGTGGATGGTGAGGTGGAACATGATGGGATGTCATCCGTAACCACCGACTGGCCTCCACCTGCAGCCCCTGTTAATAAGCTACTGCAGTTTGTGGAAAATTGATTAGTAGTCGGTGGTAGATTCTGACCAACTTGTCCAGGTAGTTCTGGTAGAATTCCAGGTTGCTGGTGAAGTTTTGATTGCTGATTTGGCTGGGAAAACCGAAAATGAGACTGGCTAGTCATTTGCTTCTGGACAACTTGCGACTGGGAGAGAGACGTGGAGGTGGATGTGGTTTGAGACATATCCAGCATTTGGCTTGTTGCAAGCGACCTGGAAAAGTTCTGCGATACATCCAACAGCTGCTTCTGCTGATCCTGGATTGGCCCAAGCTGGGGTTGTTGCAATACAGATTGTTGAGCTAGAAGTGATTGCTGCTGCTGATGCAGCTTCTGCAAAAGCTGCAACTGTAATTGGTTATCAGAGAAATGCATCTGTTGGTTAAGTGGATCGCTAGGCTGAGATGGCATGAAACTCTGCTGCTGAGTCTGATTCATAATCTGTTGCTGCTGAGGAAGGTTCCTCTGCAGCTGGTTTTGAAGTGATTGTTGTTGCTGAAGGACATTCTGAGATTGCACAAGACTCTGCGCTTGCAAAAGTTGGGCCTGAACTTGGTTTGTAGGCATGGAGTGGTTGATTAGATTCTGTCTTGGTTGCTGACTGATATCCGACAACTGTTGCTGCTGCGACTGCACAATGGATCCTACTGGGCTCAATGTGGCAGCTGGCATCTGACCTTGTTGGTTTGGCCGTTGGGTACCAAACTGTAAGGTGTTGTGCTGAGGAAGCTGAGGTGCTGCTGGTAGACCTAACTGACGTGAGAGGTCTGCTCCACCTCCGACATTCTGTAGAACGGGACCAGACAAAGAATGCAGGTAGTTTGGCTGCTGCATTGAGTTAGCGAGAGAAGGGTTCTGCTGCATGTTCATCCATTGGACTAAGCTCAGGCCTGGAAGACCTTGCGGGTCTTTCATCCCAAAGTCATCACCAAGCCATGGCATTGTCCTCTTGAATAGGCCATCCAGATCAGAACAATCGTCATCTGCAACAAGTGATATCTTCTACAGTTATCCAACAATGTCAAAAGATATCATCAGAATTGAGAGACATATTCTGGTTGTAGAATTCCTCATACCTGGCATTCCAGGTAGCCTTGGCCGCTTTGACCTGAAGAATGGAGGAGTAGGACAGATGAAAAAAGGTGCTGTTACTGGTTCAATCTCCCAAATTGAGACCCGGTTGCGCCTCTCCCCAGCAGTTGACTCATCCCAACCAACCTAATCACAATTCACAAGCGTGAAGGTTAGTACATTCCTTAAGTAAAGATAAAACAAAAGTCAAATTACCAGTTAGAAAACTGTACCTGCAAGTTACGCCATTGTGAGTTCTTCCACCTCACCGGATCCAGATCACTGATGCCGGTAATTGTTCCCATATACCTTCTAGTTCCTGACTCTTCTGTCTCAAACATCATGCGGAAACGCATGCCAAGAGATACTTGACTGCTATAAGTTGACTTGTAATACTTAGCTAAAGGGATGACAAACTCAGAAGGACTTGCCCTGTTCATATAGAGGTTTAAATTTTTTAAAATCATCAAGATCAAGGATAGATAAATTGCTATAAGAAATGCATATGCCTATTAAGAAAGTAAGTTCACTGACCTTGGGTTATAAAACACAGTGAAAGGGCTATTGTTTGCAGCTGCATGGGCTGCCGCTGCTAGGATACCTATATGCATGCTATCACTTGACAACACAGATGATGATAAGTTTGTGGGCTGTCTGTTTGCTCGCCTAATACCAAGTAGAAGCTGCTGCTTTTCATCCCTGTAGACATAGATTGAAGAGCATTAAGGATGACCGAAGCATATGAACGAATCAAAGAGAATCCAACAGCTGAGTTGGTTCCCTTTATGGATCTCACTTAGCATTCTATTTCAGTCGTCAGTTTATACTTGAAATTACTATTTGCTCAAATGCACGGAAAAATAAGATACAACATTCAAGGTGGTATGACATTGCCAGTATCATTAC